TATAGGTCAAGTTCCATGGTCAAAACCACGGCCAGCCGCCCGGGCCCTCGGTGCGCCTCCTCCGGTCATGTTTATCATTCTATAAATACCCGAGGGGGCGCCCCCTGGCCGCTACGCAGCTCCAACTTCGGGAAAAGCCAAGACCCTCCTGGGGTCTTCGCACCATTTTTCATGCTCCCCTTAATATTGCTGGCGAGATCCGCTATTCTTATTAATTAAGTAATGTATCGATAAGGAATGTAGAGGTTCATTGACTTAAGAGTATCCGTTTTGAAAGAATTCCAAAATATCTGCACGTAACTCGTATCAGACTCATCTTGCCCTTTTTTAACTCAATAGGCGCACAGTGGATCGAGTCACTGAGATAGGTTGGACATGAAATTGTTGACTAGAACCACAAATTTTGAGGTTTATTTCTTCACATTTTCAATTTAAAGGGGTGTTTCTAGAATTTTTTGTTGTGTTGTCTAGAAGTGGCTGTGTTTTTCACAGAATATGCATTAAGATTAGTTTCAATTGAAATCATTAATATCTCAATTTTTCCAAAAACCGCACACGTGCGCCATGTCCTCGAAGGCCCTCATTTGTAAAAGAGGATAACAGCCACAAAACTGAGCGCTTCGTTGCATTAACTAAGGAATAACGCCATGGACGTGTTCCTGTCTGGAAATTGCCTATTCGACAATAATTTATAGCATTCGTTGGATAAATTTTAAATTTCTTCTCCTTAATGTTTAATTTCCTTAGTGTCACCCTGTAAAAATGGATTTTATCCTTTGTGTTGACTAAATCTAGCTGAAATGAGTTCGGCTGATTTTAGCTTATTTCCTCGAATCACTCGGTTGCATGCCCACAAGTCCGAAACCTCGCGTTTGAAAAACGACAAAGCGAGCAATTCTCGGAATTTGCAAGGAAATTCTTGCGTTATTTACGGCGCGCGACTGCAAGGCAAGTGTCATTTTGGCGCCGCCGACATTTTTACGTTAGCTGCTCTCGTCTTTTTCCGTGCGCTCTGTGCCAATTCCTCGTTTCCCGGACAAAGAAACGTAACTGCATTTCAATGTTGCCAAATTTTTCCTCAAAAAATTGCATTTTATGTAAAGAAACGTATATATTTTTATCGGAATTTTCACTGATTTTTCTCATGACCTCATGCAAAAATCAGACAAATTTTGGAATAAAATTGCAAAGGTACATTCCCGTAAAAATTTGCATCGTTTGAGTCAATTTTGGAACCTTGGAATGGAATTACGTTCCTTCGTGCGGGAAATGACGAATTTGGTGATGCAAATTTTTGCACTATGCATCGTCAAAACAAGGTGTCGGCCGCTTGTAACGGTCTGAATTTGGAGGTCCACCGCTTCGGCGGTGATGGCTCTAGATTGGACGTATTTCTGCCAAACGAAATTATGTGCATTATGACGTGAGCCCTATTATGTACATATTCTTATGGGTCTCAGGGCTCATGTCTTGATGCACATAGTTCCGTTCGACAGAAATACGTCCGATTGAAGGTCGGGAAGTCTTAAGCTGGGTCTTTGTTCGGGTCTTAAAATAGGGAGCGTGGAATCATGCTCATAATAGTACTTTGAGGAAAATTTGCTCATACGTAAATGATTGTGGAACAACTGCAGCTATGCAACCGAATATTGCTTCGGCCTGAAATTAAATTTTATTTTGAGAAAACGATATCTTCTAAAGGAGAAGACATGTTGTTTTTTCTCCGTAAAGATCATGTCGCTTTTTTATCGAGAGGACCTGTGTTCTCTCATCGGCTTCACTTGTTTTGGCACATCATCGGGCCCAACGCAAACAAGCAATACCAGAATTTTCGACGTACCCTAAAGATTCTGATGGAAGCTTTAAATTTACAATTTGAAATTAATCAGTGAGTGCCACTGATTCTCAGCGCCCAATCCTCTTCTTACAAAGGTTCTCTAGCCTATAAGGTTTCAGACTAAACATTATTGTGGTATTACTCTAACTTGAGCTACGGTACTACCGTAATTAATCGGAAATGCCCATATCATCCGACGAGTGGTGGGGGGGGGGATACCACAATTCTAGGGAATAACCCCTAACACTTTTGTTTCGTGCTGATTCCTTTGAATCCCTTGGAAGTAACACTGATTTTTTCTCACCGAGGCAGGCCCGCCACATCCCATCTCGGGCCCTGGTACCAATTTTCTGGTCCGGGCCCCTAGCACGGGGGGGGGGGGGGGG